TATACATTTTCTGATAGCGCTTTTATAAAAAAGTATAATCTTATTATTTTCTATATATGAAAACATCAAATTATGAACTTAAAAAAGCAATATCGACATTTTACAGGGTTCTAAAGTCTTGCAAATCTATGAACAGGCTTTTAATGACGGGTACGCCGTTGCAGAATAACTTGGCCGAGTTGTGGTCATTGTTAAATTTTCTACTACCAGAAATATTTAACGATCTTGCCATCTTTGAGTCATGGTTCGACGCAAAACATTTTGAAGGCGATGAGGGAACAACAAAGTTTTTGAAATTGGAAGCAGATAAACAAGTATTATCATCGTTGCGTGAAATATTGCAACCATTTATGTTGAGACGCGAAAAAGTCGATGTTTGCCTGGATGTGCCACCAAAGAAAGAATTAATACTTTATGCTCCTCTAACGGAGTTGCAACATGAATTGTACAAGGCAGTAATGACTCGAGATATAGACAAGTTGACTATGGTAGAAGATGAAGGTCCAATCATTACATCAGATGGTCGGAGACCGCAACGCAAATGTGTATTAAAGAGAAGTGTCGATAGTATGATGGAATTAGCAGCTGCCAGTGCTTCACAATATGAAGATGATGAAACCATGGACAATGTTGAGTGGAAACAAGAAAAATCTAAAAGTGAACAGAATTTACTAAAATGGAATTACTATACTGATGTTACGGAGCGTAACAGAGACTATTTCATTAATATTCAAACTAGCAATTGTAAGTTGTTGTTTAACAAGGTATACAAAATGTTTGCTATATTTCGTTATCCTTATCCATACGTTTTGCATTATAGGGGCTTTATATAAGAAGATTGTAAATCATCCGTATTTGATACATTTTCCACTGGGGCCGGACGGTTTACCAAAAATAGATGAAGATTTCATTAAAGTATCCGGCAAATTTTTAGTATTAGATGCCATGCTTCCGAAACTCAAAGAACAAGGACACAAAGTTTTATTATTTTCCACCTGGACACAAGTATTGGATATGATAGAGGAATATCTTTTGCTGCGTAACTATAAATATGTCAGGCTCGATGGTACAACTAAACTGGAAATACGAAAAGAAAACATAGAACAATTCAATATGGACCCCGAAACGTTTTTGTTCATCATTTCTACTAGATCAGGCGGTGTTGGATTGAATCTCACGAGTGCAGACACCGTTATTATATACGATCCCGATTGGGTAGTTTATCAATATTATTTATTGTTTATGATTTTGTTGATAACAAAATACACTCAAGTATATTCGTAGAATCCGCAAATGGATATACAGGCCATGGCACGTTGTCACAGAATAGGTCAGACACGGCCAGTGGTGATATATAAGTTATGTACCAAAGGAACGCTTGATGAAGCAATTTACAACCGCGCGGACGCTAAACGTGTCTTGGAGAAAGTAGTAATCTCCAAGAATTTTAATACTATGAGCTTACATAATAAATTAGATTTACTGGAGCTACAGAATCTTTTAGAATCAGGGGAAAATCAAGTGATTGCCTCCGAAAATGAAGGTAAATTATTGAAATGTATAATTCTCTTATTTCATGAGTATGTGTATGTTACTATGTATTTCTTTATTTTTTAAAGTGTATGTAAATTTTGCATGTAACTATAACAGTATTATAATTTTCTAATCAATTTTTAATGTAGTATTTACAGAAGACGAACTCGATAAACTATTGGATAGAAGTGACATGTTTATAAATCAAGAGTCGTAAATATCGTAAAGGGCCATATTGTCTATTGTGATGTTTTTAGGATAATAATGTCGTAAAGTATTAATAACAAATTACATACTCTAAGTTAATTTATTAATTACTAATTTATTATTATTATTTTATTAATTTAAAACGACCATTTTGTTTATCGTATAACATTTATCGGTTTTATTTATTATTATTGGTTTATTAATTTAATACTACTATTTATCGTGTAGAGGGTGTTCCAGCACGTACGACTTTCGACTGAGAATTTCATCCTCTTCTATATACATTCCAGAGAAGAAAATCGTGTATTCTGGAACACCTTGTATATGATAAGAAGAGAAAAATATAAGTATCAAGTTCATGTAGCCCTTGGAGCATATGCTCTAAGATGTAGTCCTTCTTCTAGTTAAATTTTGTTACGAATTTGATCGCGAAGTTTATTTTTGTACTATTTATAAATTCCCTTTAATTGTATTAATGATATGAAATAAAACGCTCCGTGTNTTGCATGTAACTATAACAGTATTATAATTTTCTAATCAATTTTTAATGTAGTATTTACAGAAGACGAACTCGATAAACTATTGGATAGAAGTGACATGTTTATAAATCAAGAGTCGTAAATATCGTAAAGGGCCATATTGTCTATTGTGATGTTTTTAGGATAATAATGTCGTAAAGTATTAATAACAAATTACATACTCTAAGTTAATTTATGGTTTATTAATTTAATACTACTATTTATCGTGTAGAGGGTGTTCCAGCACGTACGACTTTCGACTGAGAATTTCATCCTCTTCTATATACATTCCAGAGAAGAAAATCGTGTATTCTGGAACACCTTGTATATGATAAGAAGAGAAAAATATAAGTATCAAGTTCATGTAGCCCTTGGAGCATATGCTCTAAGATGTAGTCCTTCTTCTAGTTAAATTTTGTTACGAATTTGATCGCGAAGTTTATTTTTGTACTATTTATAAATTCCCTTTAATTGTATTAATGATATGAAATAAAACGCTCCGTGTCCGATCCTGGTATTTAGAATTGTTTAATTATCATTTTGACAAGCTCTTATTATACATATATACATTTCTCTGCCTGCATTTCTGTTCTGAACAATTTATGATAAATAGTAAAATGTGCTTAAATAGAAAGAATATTAAAAACAGTCAGGTGAAAAGTGACAACGAATTGTTATGAATTTATTCATACAATATAAATACAATTTAATTTTAGAGAAACAATGTATGATATAGATAAAATTTGTAAGTTACAAAATTGTGCAAAACAAATTATTTTTGTATAAATATACATTTGATGAAAGTATAGAGCACAATTATTTTATATTTAAAAGTGTAATAAATACTGATCTGTTTTATGTGAATACTGATACACTTACATATATTACAGATTCCTTAATTAATTGATTATAAATTATCTACCTCCATCGCTGGATTCTCGTAAGATCTCTTTGTTTCCCTGTTTGTTTCTTCATGTTCTTCTGCCCAAGGTTGCTTCTCACCGGATGCATATAAACCATATATCACGGCTCCGATCATGTAAACTGCACCGGAAATAATAAAAACTACTCTCCATTCCCAAGGGCTCTGTAGAAGACATATTCATTTTCATTATACACATTTTTCTTAAACAATGTCTGGAACGTGCTTGCATGATTGCATGTATCGTATACATTGAGTAAAAAATATATTATATCCTTAGATCCTTATAGTTATAAATTTAATTGTGTATACCAACGTACTATAATTTGAACTTACCTTATTCTGTACAATGTACCCAGTAAGAATAGGACTCACAATTCCAGGTAACGTGGCAATAGTATTTCCTATTCCCATAAGGACGCTTGCATGCTTAGGAGCAATGTCTAAGTGATTTACTCTACAATATATAAATATATCAGTACATATGTGTATAAAAATTATTTAAAAAATTTAATACGTCCACATGTGTAATTATTATTATACATTATTATACATTGAAACGTTGAGAAAAATTACCCGAAACCAGACCAAGCAAAACCACCAAGACCGACTGCTATAGTGATACAAATAACTACTCCTATCGGGTTGAAGATAAGTCCTGTACAAGTCATAAATATTGTTTGAAACACGAACGCTCCACAATTAAAGAATTTACGCACCTGAGACAAAAAAATATATTCTATGTTTTAGCGACACATTTTTTATTACGAATTATTTTTTTACGAAAAAAGAGAAATTGAGAAGAACTTAAACCTGCGTAGTCGTCAAAATTTTCTTCGTTCTTAAATAATCTGCTAAATGTCCAGAAAATTGAACGACGATAGTCATAGCCAGATATGGAAGAGCGGATAAATATCCAGTTTTGTCTAGCTTAAAATCGAGTACATCTAAAAAGAAGTATAATTATAATTTACAAGAGCGACTTATGACACTATATGACCTATACACAAATGATTCTGCACTTTGCTCTCCGTCTCTCTCTCTCTCTCTCTCTCTCTCTCTCTCTCTCTCTCTCTCCCCCTCTAGTAGTATAAATATATAATTAATTAAAATAATTAAATTAACCGTTCATAAATGTTGGCAATTGCGTTAGCATGGTATAGAAACCCCAATTTTCACTGAAATGCGCTGCGACAATCGCCCAGACTGGTGCAGAGGTGAGCATTTTTTTCCACGGATGCGTAATTTTCTATTCGATACAAAATGAAAAAAATTCTAAGTAATAATATTAGAAATTATAATAATTAAAAAATAAATAAAATGCAGTATCAGGTGAACTACTAGGAAGTCCTTCGAAATAAACTTACATCTGCTTTCGAATTTCCAAGGCTATTTTTAATGTATGCAAGTTCGGCTTCAGAAATGTATTTGTCGTCCTCCGGCTTATCTTGTACGATTATCCACCAATAAAAGAACCAAACAAGGCCAACTGTTCCGAAAACGTAAAAGACGGAAGACCAGCCAAGGTGTTCTGCCATCAAACCGGCAACTGGCATTGCAAATACCGTCCCAAAGAAACTTCCGGAGAATGCAAGGGTAGCTAGTTTTGACCTCTCTAGAGGAGGTGCCCATTGTGCCCATATTGCGTGTATGCAAGGATACGTCACGCCCTAAATCAAATTAATACAAGTTATACTATAAGTATATTAAAAAAATGAATGAACGAAATATATAGAAACGTACAAAAAATGAAATGTATACAAACATACGTATATATATTATACATATACACATGTGTATCCTTATTTAAAATGCAGAACCTGCACACTTTATTTTTTCATTATATGTAAAAATGCATATTTATGTAAATAGTCCGAGATATAGTAGACTATTGTGTCTTTTGAAAGCTGTTAGACCGGTTATGCTGCATTTATGTAAATCGACGTACATGTGCGTCTATTTACCTGTATAGCATTCTATTGTAGTGGTAATTATAGCTATCAAAGAATGTAATTACGAATACATAATTTAAAATGTAACATTGTCTACCTCGCAAATTCCTTCCACAATTCGCAAAGCGACCAGAATGTACACGCTCACTCTAACTAAAGGTGGTGTGATAATCGTGAGAAAAGCTGTGACAGCGATGCCGAGTCCGAAAACTCTTTTCCCACCAATACGTCCACCAAGCCATCCTCCAAGTAATTGGGTACTTATGTATCCATAAAAAAAGGAACTTAATACTAGTCCTTGTGTCTTCGAGTCCCAATTAAATTCTGGTTCCTATAAGTAACCTTGTATTTTAATAATTGCGATTGTCCATTATATTTTACATTCAGCAGAAACTGCTTTTATCTATTTAATCCCTTAACAGCTGAGCTCCACAATTCTATCTTTATCTATCTAATATTTTGCATAAGTATAGTGTTACCAAAGATATCGCACAAAATGGATAGTACAAGCACAAGTAAAAGTTCTATTCATTAATTCGTATCAATGCGAACATGTGTATAATAGAGTTTGATAAGAAGTTTTTCTGGATATTAATACAGATGATCATACATACTTGTACAACTTGTCTTTAGAAAATTGAGTTTGCATTTCACTTTACGAGATTGCAATAGGTGTTTAATATGAATTTCCTGATATACCTATATTACCATGAAAATATTTTTACTTACAAAATATTTCTCTCCAGTTTCATTGACTTTACGAACTTTCGCGTTCATCGCAACGATGGCCACGCTTAAATTCACGCGAAGGATGTAGGATGTGAAAAATCCGAGAAATGCTAATACTCCGACTACATATCTTCTCTTTTGCCAAAATTTCCAGGACGAAGTGAGTCCGTCTGTATATTTAACGCTGAAAAAGTGCCAGCGTTAAATTTGCGAATAATATGACAATTATTATCTTTTTTAACTATTTACGTTTGCCGATATCAAGTAACAATAACTTCACTAGGAAAAAAATTATTCATTGCAAGTTTTATTGAACTAAATTTGAGATTTCACTTACTACTTTGCGATTAAAATTTGAATGAGTAGAAAACGTATAATAAAGTCATTAACGTGATATATTGCAGTCAGGGCTTGAATGAAACTGTTGAAATTCTGTTCTGAGAAAGTTAAAGCTGTGACAAACAGGTTTTCCAGAAATGTTTGTGCTTACTCCTCTGTACATATACGTACGTAATTAAAATCCTATTCTCATTTTCTTAAAAAATAATAATTAAAAAATATTCCTAAATTATATATTTTATTTTTAAATCTCATCTTTTATTAATTGATCATACAATAACTATATTAAATCTAAACTCTAGTTAATGTAAAAAAATTCACCTAGAACAGAAGTAAACTGATTTAAAAGTTAAAAGTTTGACAAATAATTTGTATTTATCATAAGTTTACAGTTCCATTCGAGCCCTCAATAAACTAACTCATAAAAGCTTACGTTCCGTATTCCGTATCCTTGACGGGTTCAGCCGAAGATTTCTTTCTCTCCATCGTTTTCTGAAAAAACACTGGTTTTACACGCAGAAGAGAAATCTACTTCATAAAAATGTACACCACCATCCAAAAGTATTAAAGGATACCTCATCTCATCTCATATAATAAGTAGCTTTTGACACAAATTAAACAATTTCTACTTGTCATGTGACATTGTCTTAACAAAAGTATATCGTGGTGTATATGTACTTGCTTTTCCTGTAATTAGTTTACTACACAAGCGCATTTTATTTTTTTGCGAAATTTACAATGATTTCATTATGTATTAAATGTTTCTAATACACCACTTGATGTAAATGATAAATTATCCAATGGACTTTCATATATTACCACTTTTGTATGTTCAAGCTAAATGAAACAGTATGTGTATGCAATTGCATTAGAGCATGTATATTATATATTGCACAGATAGGATGAAGGAGTGCAATATCGAAGAATAGATTAGGTGTACATATACTAGTGTACCCGTCGTCTAATATCAGTGACCTCAATAGGTACACATAGATACCTTGAAAGTAGAAAGTCTCGTATAAGAACTTCTTGCTGTTTTGTAAAGCTTTAATAAATTAAACAGTACTTACAATTCAAAATAAATAGTGGAGAACGCATTCAACTAAATAAATGTAATTATTCATGTAATAACTTTTACGTACGAAAATAATAGTAGTTATACACATTGTCAAGTATTCTGTTATTTGCATCTCATCTGAACATAAAATTAATTTTTTAAGCATTAATAATTGAATACTTTCACCGATATACTGCAAAAATGTTAACATATTCTCCAAGTATCATACCCTAACTGTTGCAACAACTTGTTACGCAAAACTACATTTTGCAATTTAGTGGCGCACCTGTAGTTTATGATATTTTATCATTCTTACAGTGCACTTTATGACTTCGCTACACTAGTAATAAAAATACTTCTTTTGCATAAATTAAGCGTTCCTCGAACTTCGAACGCTAAAAAATGTCTTTACTTCGGAGTTTACCAGGCCACATACTGCTTCACGCGCTAAGAGTATATTTGCAATTCAATTTGAACACTTCGGTATCCACTAATTTGAAGGACAATTGAAATTCATTAAGCAGATCTGTTGAAACCATGAATTCTTGTAACTATATACAGCTTTTCTAAACAATTTCCTAATTTAATAGCGTAATATTTAAAATACACAACTGTTAACTCCAGAAATAATTGCCATAATTAGTATATTTTCTAATATACCGCTCGGAAGAATTTATCGTAAAAATGGAATCCTTATTGTTACGAACCTGTGCATAAATTATGTAGCCGGTACACTTAAGAGATCGTGAGCTTTATCCTCGCTCTGTCGGGATCGCAACATGCATGTAGATACTACTTCATCTTCAACACGCAACAAGTATATATTTGTAATTCAATTTAAACAATCTCCGTCCTTCAGAAAAATAACATTTTTTGAAAAAACGGAAATTGTGTTCAGTAAAAGTTCTTCGATTTCATGGAAAGTATTAAAATCTTGAGTAACGTATGTTACAAAATTGAGATTAAAATAACAGTTATTTGAAAAACACAAAGAAGTAAACATTCACATATGGATTACTCTACTTCCGCTTTTTCGAAACTATCAAGCATACACATTATTTATACATAAGGCGATTTAATATTTATAAGAATTCGCAAAAGCTGTTTCTATTTTTATTATAGTTAAGGTTTCCTTGAAACGGAGTATATTACACAATACTTTTCTTCCTTGTACGTAAGATTTATTTGAATTTTACACTTGCACCAATTGTTATCCACATGCGTTGAGGAGATTGCAACCGAGTGAAGACCGCAACTGAAATGATTATGTACCTACATACCACGATGGCGAATGATAGGGACCAGTCGAAGGAGCGAAGCGATTGGAGGATTATTGATCGTTCACTGTGTCACCTTTCACTTCCTGTATTTTGCTTTCCAATGATGTATAAAGATCAGTGAATAAGATTCTACAAGTGAATAAGATCTACTTACAATACAAGCAAACACAATAATTTTTGTACATGTTTCTTATTTTTATCACATTCATTTACAATGAGAATCGTCGTCTTCGTCGGATAAATGAAAGTGTACGCGATAAAATTTTTAAAAATACCCATTCTTGAAATTCACATTTGATTACATTATCTGAACAGCTTTGTAATACGTCTATAAAATATTTTCAAATATAATCGATTATTTTTTAGTTACTGCAGCCGAAGTAATAAGAAAATAAAATTTTTAATTAGTACCATTAATAATTCAAACGCGTGCGCTTGATTTTAGCTGCAATATTAATCAAGAAAAGTGATATTAAAGAACGGACATTCATGTAAATAACCAATTAGAATCCTTTTTACTCCAGTTCATTAAACAATAATTGCAGTACATAAATATTGAGAATGCGCGTGCATCCGAAAGTTCGGACTCCCGGGCTTCGCATCGGGTCGGGCGAGATCTCGAAAATTTGACCAGCATGTACACTTATTCCGATACCCATAATTACGGGACCCGAAGTTGATTCGGGAGTCATTATCACATTTGCATTTGCAAACTGACGTTACGGAAAATTACTCAAACAATTACCAGTGCATTAAAGACCAACGCATCCTACAATATCATCCACATGTGTTATATTAGAACTTTAAAAAACTACGTACGAACATTAAAAAAAATTCATAATTCAGTAATACGATAAGTAAATTGTAAATTATAAATTTTTATTTGCATTCTATTCTAGGTATATAGTAGTTACATATGTGCATTTGCATCAATATCTGCAGTCTATTGCTATGAAATTCTAAAACTGTAATTGACATTGCGAGGAATGAAGGAATTAGAAAATGAAACATGATAAGTCATATTATGCATTCCAAGTACGTATACAGAGTTTAAATTACACCAGTTGAGAAATGATTATGCTCTCTGGTTATTCGTAGTTGTGTTATATGACAAATCATTTTCTCTTATCAGCCTACTCAATGACGAATACAAATATCATTATAAGTTGTATATGCATATTATTCACATAGTTGATTATTGTTTAAAAATAAAATCAGCTGTCGTATTTGTGAATGTTAACAAATTCAATTACAAAGAATTGTCCTACTTTATTCATACGATTAATACTTACGTTTATTTAATTTCCACGGTTATATATATATATACATAAATTCTGGTTTCCGGTATCGTTGTATTCACACTTACCTAATTCACCTTCATACCTAATACTTAATACCTAAATACCTTCACAAATTCACGAATGAAACGTTATATGTAAATATTTCCAACTAAATGCAAAACACTGTTAAGAAACTATTTAAAAAATTTTAATTCTAATATAATTTATAGCTCAACCGAAAATCGTAATGATTATGCCGTAAGTGCTCACAGATGCCCATAGGCAACTGACCGGAATAAAATCGTAATGTAGGTACCTCGTCAACTCTGCAGGTAGTACGTACACACATACGTATATGTAGGAAGCTGAAAATTGTTCTTTATCAAAGCACCAATCAGAGTAACGTGCATTTTTAAAGGATTCACAATTCCATGGCTATATACTACATATACATATATGTATGCATGTATATATGTGTAGGTAATACCTACTAGGTATATATACATATGTGGATGTGGGTGTGTATATAGAGTATAGACGTTCACAGTACACTCGTACATATGTACATTTTTTATAATCACTAGGTTTAAAGGTCACATAATAAAAATCTTGTATGTATACATACAGATTAGGCAAAATGAAAAAATCGTTTCCGAAATCGACTAATAGCAACGATAGCTGTGCGACTTTTGACCTTATTGCGCGACCTTTAAGCGCTTACAGCTTGTATATATACAATATAGTAACGATGAATGATTTCAGTGACATTTTTAATGTACATCTTCAAAATCTGATATACAAACTTTGACTCCAGACTCGAATAAAAAGGTAAATAATAAAAACGACTTAAATTCAACTAAGCGGTTTCAACTAATTACAATTTTTTGGCATTTTTTTTTATATATGTCATGTGGTAAATTAATTCTTCTAATATTTCAAAGAAATTCAGATTGTATGTATTAATTTTAAAAGAATTACTCAATTTTGTAGATTGTACAATGTTTTAAGCGACATCCACTATATAGTATACAATTTGAGTATTCCGCGAAACCGGCTGCATGTAACAGTAATTCATCTAATTATTTCTTTAGTTCCAGTGTTTTTCAAGTCATCTATCTATCTAAAGTTGCTTTAAGCGAAGATTCTTTTATAAAAATAATTATTGCCACAATTAGTGAGGGGTTGTCATTATGATGGAGTTAAGATTTGATTGATTTTTAAATCCATTTGTCACAAACACGTGCGAAGCCTTCAATAAAATTTGGCTGATCTAGTTTTCCGTCTTGAATTGTAGAATCTCCTTGATCTGATTTGTACAATTATAGACCACCTTGTATATACATATTATACATAAGGTGACCTGCTTGTTATTCATAGACAGTCATTTTTAATTTGTATGAAAAATTTAAATCTTTTGTATTCCTGGAAAGAGATACTACTTCATACGCATTTTATTTAACTATCGGCAATCATTTATTGGTATGAAAATTGATGAAAATGTGGGGTTACTCGCATGCCTACAAAAATATGTTCATGTGTGCCATCTATGAAGAAAGAATGCTTTCAAGCCATACATATATTTATATACAAAATACAAATACAAAGTGTATTGGTGATGAAAAATAATGTCAACTGCACGGAATTGATTCAATACTCCCACATACACACACACAGGTCATTATATATCTACAGTTTCGCTATGTTACAATAAGAAAAATATAAACACATACTGGAAAAATCTGATAATCATCCTTCATCATATAAAAACCAATATACATATCATATATACAATATTTATACGTTATACTGTTTATACGATATTACAATAAGCGAGTTGCTTCCGATTATCGCGCGATCTTCCAGATTCTCGTCAATCAGCTGCTATCAGCTGTGTTGCTATCATGATATTGAATATCATTGTTGTCATTACTCCGAAGTGAAAGTAACAACACTACTATAACTTGCATTTACGAATCCCGTATATTTACATACGCAATGAAATCTTTGCTCAATGAATAATGACCAGTGCTGCATTGCCAAGTTAAAAGTGATCATATTCTGCACTACCGTTCTTTGACAAGCACTTAACCTCCCTCTTGTCGTTCTCTTTTCTTGTAGAGTCAAAACTAAATCCCCTGATTGTGTTTATGGAATAATAAAGAACACAATCCTTATGACATATTAAAGGATTTCAAGTCCTGAATTAACTATTTATAGACCATCGTGAAAATGGACAGCCTTTTCACGCAAAATATCTTAGATGAATTGGAGGATATACCGCAAACAGATGAGCCAGTTTGGATTTTTGGAAAAAAATACGATGCCATAAAAGGTCTAACAAACGTTTACAATAAATAGAGATCAATATTCAATAAATTGAATATGTAAGGTCTTCAATTTCAGAGCTGGACACTATCCGTAGGGATATAACGTCAAAGTTATGGTTCACATACCGAAAAAATTTTGTACCAATTGGCGGTTACAGCTCGCAATATACAACTGATAAGGGTTGGGGTTGTATGCTAAGATGTGGACAAATGGTTCTGGGTCAAGCCTTAATTATATTACATTTAGGTAAATGATAAATTCTCAGATTTGTCATCCTTATTTGACAGTATATTACTTGATCTTACATTACATGCTCTACTTGTTATCATTTTCTTTTTTATTATCTATTAACTAACTTCAATTTATAGTTAAACTTATTATTAGGGCTTCTGCAGTTCCTTGATATAAATCGCATGATTTGGTAGTAGTGACATAAGTATAAGTATTGATGCAGCAATCTTTTTTTTATACGTGTTTGGAAATATAGGTAAAGATTGGCAATGGACACCAGAAACTAGAAATAACACGTACCTGAAAATTCTGGAACGCTTTGAAGATAATAGGTCTGCCGCTTTTTCTATTCATCAAATTGCATTAACAGGAGCATCTGAAGGAAAGGAGGTCGGACAATGGTTTGGTCCCAATACAATAGCACAAGTATTAAAGTAAATATTTAGTATTTTTCAAATATTTATTTGTATATGCATTGCCAGTGCGTGTACGTACACGAATTATCAAATTCTTATTTTCAGAAGATTAGTTGTGTTTGATGAATGGAGTTCAATTACGATACATGTGGCCTTGGACAATACATTAATAGTTAATGATGTTCGTTAGTATTTATTATTAAAAAGATTTAATTATATTTTATTCATATGATGAGCATTATATTTCATTTTAATGTTAAAATAACCAAACACTTACAGTAAAACAATGTAGAATAGAAGGAGGTACAACGGCAGAAGCTGATGGCAATGTACCATTAAAAGCACCAAGCCAGTGGAAACCTTTGTTACTTTTGATACCTCTTCGTCTTGGATTAAACGAGATTAATCCTATTTACATTAACGGTCTTAAAGTAATGAAGAAATAATAAGTGTTCTTGCATGGATGGCCAAATATGGAGCAAAACGTATGAAGTTAAGTATAATTTATAATCGCACCTATGTAATTTTTCAGACCTCATTCAAAATTCCACAATCTCTGGGAGTGATAGGAGGAAAGCCTAATCTCGCGCTATATTTTATAGGATTCGTCGGTACGTATAGATTTAAAGATATTAATTAATTTGATATTAACTTTAACCATCACATTTTATATAGTTGATGATTGTAATAATGAAAATTAAAAGCATAGTTAATAGTAGGAAAGTAAAGTAACATAAAATTAAATGTGTAACAATGTGTACAAATCTGTATTAATCGCGATGTTAATGTTCATAGGGAACGAAGTAATTTATTTAGATCCACATACAACGCAAAGATCAGGCAGTGTTGGAAAAAAATTAGAAGAGGAAGAAATCGAAATGGATGCTACGTACCACTGTAAATCTGCTAGTCGTATTCCTATTACGGGAATAGATCCTTCTGTAGCACTTGTTCGTAGATGATCTGTTTCCAAAATTAATCATAATGTATATACAACTTAGATTTATCTTGGATTTCTTAATACTTATATCATATACTTTCGTCAATACAAGAAAGTGTTTCGTAGATTAAAATACTCGTTATGAATCAGATTATTTTGTTCTGAAATGTTTTCTTTTATTGACCAGATTAATGAAGATATCAAGATATCCAAGATAAATGAACAGGCCGTATAGTACAGTCTTATTTCATTTCAGTGCTTTTTTTGTGCAACTGAAAAAGATTTTAAATCCATGTGTAAATCTATTCAAGACGAACTAATAGCACCTGAGAAGCAACCTCTGTTAGAATTATGTGCAGAGAGATTGGCACACTGGTCACCTGCCGAGGATGTTGCTTCGGAAGTAATACCAGCTTCAAGTTGTAAGTAGTTCTTTACTAAAATTATTTCTAATATTTACCGAATTTTATTATCGATAAATACTACTTTCTTTTTTTATTGTAGTAAATATTATTAAATTCGAAATGTTGTATAAGTTTTAGCGACTTTCGTTTATAGTTGTAGATTTTGAGCACATAGACCCACAATGTGATACATCCGACGAAGATTTTGAATTACTTGGTTGACATTTAGTTGTCAATTGACAAGAATCTGCGATATAAATACTATATATCTGGCATTAAACATCCATTCGTGTATAAAATGCAACTATTCATTCAATATTCATACTTAACTTAACCCAGTATTCTTTTAGTACTGGAAGTTAAAGGTAATAAAATAATTTATACCAAATAATAAAATATTGTATAATAATTGTATCTCAGTTTTTGGATATAAGTGATCATCGATATCAACCGTTCACGGTATACACAAATTTTGATCAAAAGAATTTTAAACTTGTCTATAAATATGTATTTGTTTTCACGTATGTATGTATGTACATACTTATTTTTTTATACAGATAATAAATTAATATATACAAAGATGAGACAAAGAAGAATCTGATAAGTCATACTTTCCGTACAGAAGAACGAGTTCATTTTCAGCAAGTGATATGTTGTTTAAAGCTCTGTGTAATTGATTATATTACATTGATTAACAATTACGCTTTTTATTTAATACTTCCTAAAGTTAAATAATCATTTCATTTTTTACATTTATTCACTTCGGATGAAAATTGTAAATTAGTGACATGAATCGTAAAATTATTATCATTGTTTCTCTTTAATATAAAATTATTGAATTTCACTATACAGGGTATTTATAAAAGTTGATACTAAGCTTTATAAGCGTTTGGTACTTCATTAAAACAAGCAAAAAATCGTAATAAATATGGATTCAAAAACAGCTAGTTCTAGAGATATTAGATTTGATTTAAAAATATGAAATGGATATGCAGGGATCGTTAGACACCGAATTTCAGGACAGATAGATTGGGTGCGTAGGACCTATACAATGACAGCTTCATTCACCCGATCAGCATGTATTAGATTATCATCTGTGGGGAGACTGAAAACGTGTAGTATCCTAAACAAGTAAATTTGTTGAATCACTTGAAACAGCTTATCGAAAATTCCGATCAAATGACACATGACAGAAAATTTTCAATGGATCTATAAGGAAATGAACGAGGGCATATAGAATGTACTTTGTAAAGATGATTTGTTGTATGATGATTAATGACAAAAATATTTCGTAACTCCGGAACCAACGATTCTTAGATCCATGTTTAGTAAGATATTTTGCTTGTTCTGTCGAGTACCATGTTCCCTTGACACCAACTTTTATAAATACCAAAAAATATATTCTAGTATAAATTACTTATTTACAACTTATGAAATACATTAATCAAATTGTATGTCTGTATTCATACTGTAAGTAAAAGGCAGAAAACTGAAAATTAAGAGTATTCATGTCCATAAGATGTCTTTGCCTCCTTCTTCTTGACCGTATAATGTATGCAATGATCTTAATGTACATATATAGGTCGGTATTCAGAGTCATTGCTTATTTTTAAGATCGTCTTAAGCATTTGCTTAAGTCCCTATTCCCTGTACAAGACAGGGACTGGAAATATAGGATAGACAGGGATAACAAATTCTTAAGACGATCTTAAGAATAAGCAACAATTCAGAATACCGGCCATACAGTTCTTAATGTATGTTTATCTCGGAATAAATATATACAATGTGACAAATATGTATATATATATACTTATTATTCAATACATCATTTTTTAGCACAAGTGTGTGTGAACAAAATATAAGAATTTTTAAGTTTGGGATTTTTGCTTCACATACATATATACATATATGTGTAAACTACATCTACAGAGTTGACCAGCTAAATGGAATCATCTAAATATGCAGCTTATTTCGTACCTTATAAACAAATTTTTCAGTAGAAGGTTACACTGTTTCAGCAAATAGATATAATGCTGGAAATAGATATTTTAGTGACCTTTTTTTAACAAGATTTTAAGGACACTGATACTTTTCTATTAATAATTCTATGTTTATTCTTTAATATTTTTGTAGAGAATTCATGAATTCGAACTATAGGAACATACTATTTCTTTCATTTACTTCTGAGATATTTGTTTTTTAATATAAAATTTCAGAAAAGTTTATGCGACATTTCAATTTAGATAACAGTAGTAAATGATAAGAATGATACGGTTGGTGAACTTATTATTTCACAATATACAAGAATATTGAAAAATAAATATAGGATTACTACAAATAAATATTAGTGTTTCTAAAATCTCGTTAAAAACTAATCACTAAAAAAAACTCTTTTCTAGCAGTTCCGTAAAACAGCAGTACAATTTTCTTCTAAAAAGTTGTTTTACATATCACATAATCAGATATGTAGGTGACCTCATTTAACTGGTTCTCCCTGTATATGTACACAATTTTAGATGATTTAAAGCCATTAGATGGAATTTTCAAATCTTCGAACGTACATTAAGCCCTTAAGTTATTCATATTTAAAGTTGTGTTTGCATTTATAATGAAAGTTTAAAATTCACATTGATCAACATAAATGTATATATATAGAAAGACACAATCACTTCTATATTAATTTATGTCATATACTGATTGTATCAACATTCTGAATTTTATATGCTGTTTCAATAAATTGTTATATATACTTAAAATTTTAAATTTTTGAAGATACGCAGAAAATTGAATATAAATATTCTCTATAATGATTTCTATAAAATTAAGAGTTTTTCGAGATATTAAAATATGAATATTTTTATATGAAACTAAATGATTTGGCATGGATTCTACTCCTACGCTAATTAACAACTTTAACGCATTACATAACACGTAATTTACAATTACAAACCCGCGCGTACGACAATTCACAATGCTAAGACAAAAATGAACTAACGCTGCCCAAACCTACGTCCTAATTTAAATATATAACGAACAATATCAATAACAAATCCGACCGATTTACATATATACACGTATAAAATCTTATGCACAAAATATACAATAATTACATACACATATAAAATATTTCTTTATTTTTGTCGTGTTAGTCGAATTTGACATTGTTCGACATTTAACTTAGTACATTGGATAGCATAACACGTACAGTTCAAAGTTACGATGGCAAATCTATTTAAATCAGCTGTAGGAGTAGGAACACTAATACATTCCACATGCATAATTTTTAAAGAGCTCAAATTATTTCCTCCGAAGTTTTAAAAGACAATTGTACTATGTATATATCAATAATAATTTAATTACTATTTACAGGCAAAATGTTGTGATCATCATTGCTTATGAAATAAAAAGAAATTGATATCTGAATGTGTTCTATTTCATAAAATATTAGCTCGAAAAAAGGAATATTTAAATGAGGACTGAAATATCATGTTTGTATTGTATAAACAAACAAAAGTACATTTAATTTTCTTCAAAACACACTTACTAGTCGTTAATGCTTGACTAATGACTAGAATACCTTTGGCGAAAAATATATACATATGTACATACATTAACATATATTTATACATATGTATATATAAATTCGATGCGTAATAAAAATTTTATTGATTCTTTTTGGCCTCTGATATGCTGTACTTACGATCCCTTAAATTAATTACAACTACGGTAATATTGTCAGCTGAACCCCTGTACGCCAAAAGAAAAAAATATACAATAAAAAATATTGCTCCTAAACTGATAGTCATTCATAACACTAATTTGTGTTACCTGTAATAGCTTTGCAGTGTAATACTTTTTGCGCCGAAATGTGGTTCGTTTATACGTTCTTTGATGAAAGCTACAGCCTCTTCATTCGTGAATGTATCCCACAAACCATCTGACGCCAAAACAATAAACATCGGATTGTGATCGCTAAGATCGAAAGTTAAGATATCCGGATCAGCGATCACCAATTTCTTGTCCTTCAGTGGATAGTCCCCCAACGCTCGAGAAGTTGCCAGTATACCTGCGACTCGCCAAACGCCATTGAATGTTACTAAACCGCCGGCTTTATTTATTCTCCTTCTTTCTCTCTCCTAGGAGTCAAAAACATATTTTATTGTTATGCGTTTGAAAAATTTATTAGTAGGTAAGTGAGTATCATTACGAGTTTATACACATACCTGTTGAGGCTTATGATCAAAAGACAAGGGTATGGCGTTGCCTTTTCCATCACACATTACGCCTCTCGAATCACCAACATTTGCGACTATTAATTTATTGTCTTCCAACAAGGCAATTAAGGCCGTTGTGCCTATACAGTATAAATACTTTTATACTATATGTTTGATACAATAAGTCTTAGTGTTAACTTTCAAAATGACGATTACCAGCTACATCCATATTTTTCTTAGCAGCTTCAACTAGTAATCTATCCACTGCTAATACTTCATCTGTTAACAGTCTACCATAGTTTATTTTATTTCCATCAAGATAATTTGTAATATCTATTCTCAATGGTGTTTTTGTCGTTCTGCTTGGTCTTACCTTGTAGTTGAATAAACAACATTTTTTCCATTCATAAAAGACAATCATCAAATAGCAATCATTAAATTTTAACAGTTACTTTACCTCTCTTGTTATAGGCCTTGGCAAACTATCCAGCTTATCAAGTAATTCCGGATCGGTTACACCAACATTTTTTTTCATACAATCGTCTGTCAAGGACGTGCTTACGGTTTTACGGAAAGATTTTTTACGTTCAAGAGGTTCCGCTGTATTCTCCTTTTCGTCAATCTTTTCAGATTCTTCTTCCTCCTTCTGCGCATCATCTGATCCACGTCGAACTTTACCAGCTAACATATCTTTCAATTCAATCACCTTTTTATTAATGTTCGGAATAAGCTTATCGCGCGCATAATTTGCTGCAAACTATTAAGGAAAGTAGAGTGTCAATACCATACAATAATACTTTTTCTAACAAGAAAAATATTGTACGTAAAATATTAGCATATCGTCTATTTCTATTCTATTTCATTAAGGTAATTGATGATACTATTTCACGTAGAAATTATGGAATTATTAGATTATGCGTATTCTGATAAACACCCTCGTTACATGTAAAAAATAATGATAATAACTTAATTCTCCTAATTATTTACATGTTGTGTCAGCTAAGAATACATATAAGATAATTTTATTTTTATCTTATTGCATGCATTAATTCTTAAAAATAGTTCATAAGTAATCAACTCCTAATATTTCTACAATAGTATAACAAATCTTTTAAACTGATCTAAGTATTAATATAAACATAAAAAAATGTATATTTCATGTCAATCTATGTGAATTGTATTCTAACAAATATCTGTTGTTCATATATAAAAACATTAACTTTAAAAGTATATATTCTGTAATCATTAATTAAATTTTTCCAACTATTATATTAACATTGTACAACTTTACCCTTATTTACCTTATCCCTAAGGGTTTACCATATTTCTTAATCTGCAATTTTGGAAGACAGTCATCATATAACATTATAAATGTATCGAATTTAATAATTATAATGTTATATGGAAAATCTAGTCGATTTGAAAATGGAAGTATAGAGATATTTCATTTATCGTTAATCATAATTTAATTGCAGTGACGTTTTTAAAATAACTCTGTTTTGTATTAAATTTACCTCTCCACCATGTCCGTCAAATACAGCAAACAAAGATACACCTGTGCTGTTCATATCCTCATTTACAACAAAACGGTCCTCCATGCGAGCTCTATGCCCTTGAACAGCATATGCAGCAATATATCCTTGCTTCAATTCCCAACTAAGTTTCACCCCATTATTTACAGAATCGTTAACTAAGAACTGTAGCTTTGATACCTGAAAGTAAGCTATATGAATTAGTTTCATTTATTCCATAATAACTTAATTAGTTTCTAGTAGACATAACATGTAACTTCTTTCTAAGTAACATACGTTTGATGTGGTACGACCGAGCGTATATTGAATTCTTCCTAATAATGAACGGCTCCATACATCAACAGCCTGTATGTACAATAGAATAATTGCTAAAATTGCTCCAAAAATTAAAACTTCTGGCTTCAATGCATATGCTCTCATAATTTTCCAAAAGTAACCAAAAGGAGTATTTATTCCAGCATTTAATCCAGTGGGAATTCCCACTGCAAATTTTGATACCAGCTTCATGTATGATACATATGTCTGTTGGACAAATATACAAATACAACATTAATATGGATTTGTATAACTTTGCAATGTAATTATCAAGTCGAATCACACAAAGAATAAGTATTATATATCGCTGAAATAATAAATTATGTTATTTAAAGTATAAGTGTGTTACCAAAAACTTGTGAGTCGTGACTATTTTTGAATACGGATTACGCGATACGAAGATCGAACGTATAACAGCTATGTATGTAAAATTTTTCTGAAAGTAATCAGCATTGATGTGCATCACTCAATATCACCTGATACAAAATCCTGTCTTCGAATTCGTCATCCATAATATAATATAAAAAACACGTTGAATTTAAGCCAATTTCCTCATGAACCTTAACGTCAGTGAGTTATTGGACAATGATTTGTAAAGACAAAAATATGGAGCACCAAGATCACATACGAATTGCATTAGAAAGTTATTCATAAACTCGTACAGTCGTTCGTTCGAAAAACAATTTTAAAATTCGTTAATAACAGAAAGTAATCTGTACATCACTGGTGTAGTATTTGACATCCGCACTGCACGAAGCAGACGATGACGATACCGATACTCGATATCGATGAGTCGATGATACCAAAATTACGAATGTTACTGGAGGTAAATTCTTACATTCACGCCGCGCAATTTTATAGGCATGCGGCACTGGCACTAGCGGCGTTCTAATTACACAAAATTTTCAAAATACATTGTACAAATCTATTGTGTCTAACTTGAATTTCGCGACAATTATTCAATTAAAATTTTATTTATTATGTAAAAATATAATGAACTGTAAAATATTGAAAAATACTATAATACTTGAATTGTTCTGTACGCGTTACGCGAAGGGTGATAATTATAAAGATTATTCACATTTATTTATAATAGCTAGAAATATATACAGCTAATACATTCTCGCTGTATTATGCAGCTGATGTGTGCAGTGTGTATTCATGTAGGTATATTTTCTCTGTAATGTCTTCTTTAGTTAACATAGATAACTGTATATGAAAAAGTAAATAAGGATGGGAATATAGGAAAGCTATCAGCATAATTACGATATCACACGTTTACGTCAAGACGTGAGACGTGAGCTTAGAAGCCGCGTAAACATGGCCACAGACCACAGAATCGAAACGAGCGGTTGATGTTCTTTAACCCGCGTAGTGCGTTTATTAATGAATATGCGTGACGACAGTAATCTTCTTACTATACGGAGATCAATGTATCATCGGTGAAGATGAGCGAGAGAAAGTTTACCCGTGGCCTAGGTAAGCCGGGAATGGCTGCTCAATTGCGAGAGACTGTCTCTCAGGTAGTACGTGAGAGTACCGTTCAGGTAAGTAAGCAGATACACATAAATGTTTGTTGTTTGAATCTTTGATTTCCTACGCACATTTTTATATTATTTGTTTTGTATCAAGTACTGGATAATTTATATTACCGAAGAAGTAACTTCCGCTTTTCAGTCACCTATCAGTCCATTCATGACATCGTTAATTCAATATTCATTGACAATTACTGTCAATTAAACTATAGTTCGTAGAACTAGCTAACTATAAATGTAAGTTAAAGGTGGGAGTAAATAAAATTTACTCAAGTTTTCGTGTTTATGTTTTGAATAGTTTTTTTTCCTATTTATTTAGGCTGACAGATTTAAGAGAATTTTTAATTATAATAATTTCGTTAGATATTTAATATCCCTTCTGATCTCTTATTTATCTCATACAATGTACTTTTCATTTTGTTTTCAGAGTAAACCACATCTAGTACAACCTATAGATTTTGAAAGTTTTGTATTAAAAAATAAAACTTTGTTACAAAATGATCCTCAAAGAGAACTGTTGATATATCCTCAGGATGATGTTTCAGTAAGTGTTAACTCAGTATTTCTTATCTCTTTGATGGAATCCACATATGTCACGAGATAGATGATTACAAGATGTTCGTAATACAATATCATTGTATGA